GTATTCAAGTGTCTACAAGTTCCAAAGTATGTCTAAGCTTTATTAATTAATAAATTTGTTTAAAAAATATATAATTACATATTTTATTAGGTGCTGAACATATTTTACTTAGAAAATAATATAGGTTATCTTAATAAAATTTTGAGTAATTTTAATTTATTTAATTGTTCAAAATTGTCCAAAGTGTCCAAACTTACTGTCAACAACTGTCCCATAACAACACTGCTAATATATACTAGGTATTGGCATAGTTAACAGTTAAACACAATTTTAATACTCCTGTATAGGGATAGGAATCGACTATATTATTTAGTCAACTAAATTGACTAAACATAGTAATTTACATACAAATTTTTTAGTTGACTAAATCGATTTCTATCCCTACTCCTGCACCTATTTTTTTAAATATACCTAAATGTGCTATGTATTGTCATGGGCAAAACGTGACCTCCAGCCCATGACTAATTTATGTGAAACGATGCACGGGGAATATACAGATCATTACGCAAAGGACTGTTACACTACGATGCCCCGGGACCCGATTTTTGAATGATGATCGCATGCAAGCCAAACCTGCTCAAACCAGGCCCTCTGTATGAAAGCATTGAACGTAGATCTCATGAAAAATAGGCCTCCATCAACGATCTCATTGATGAAAAAGATACTTACCCGATTCGGTATGACAGCTGTCAAGGTAATATTACCTTGTCGGGTAAGATGTGGCAGTGAAAGAGAAAAAGCATATGAATCGATGGAAGAGTCAATGCATTAATCAATGAAATTGACGGGTAAAGAATGAATGATGAAGTAGAAGCCTTCATTTGACTTGCCTTCTTTTTCCATTCCGTCGAACGTTTCAATGAGAATGGCAGTGTGAAAGGAGTAGGGCATTAGATTAGAATGGATGTTTAGCTAAAATTCAATGGTGGTATAATGAAAAAAAAAAGATGGGAATTAACTTAGAATTTTCAATTTTCTTCTTTTCTTGACTTGTAGTTTTGTATAAATAAGCGGTCGAATCGCCCTTGTAAAAGGATATAGTTGTTAACCATGTAATTGCTCCTATATAGTAAATAAAAAAAAAAAGCCCTTTGTGTCAAATAAATACAACGTTCTTTAAGTTTACCCAAATCACCCTAATTGTAAAATACTCAACCCGAGCCTTAGACCTTGCCAGATCGTTCCCGCATCCAACCCGTTGAGTAGATCTGATCGACGCTTTGTGTTGTGTGTGTGGGTTTGTCCATTTGGCCCACTACAGTATAAAATTTTAGGAATGAAAGTGGTTCTTCTGGCCAGTCCTAGTCCGGTTCCTAAAAAGTCTGGTCCCGAATTAGTTAGGAACTATTTCACTCCTCTGTCAAAAACCGTCCAACCCTAGCGGTGAATTTTAAATCAATAACGATAAGGACTAACATTAAAACCTACCAATTGGTATACATAAATAGTAGAGTTGGTATATAATTAATTATCCAATAATGATTCATATCGTATTAAGTCTATTCGATATCGATATGTCAAAAAATGACATTTTATTATATCATGTGATACTTAGACTGGTTTTGAACCAGTACTGAACTAGTCCGTTCCCTGGAGACCACTTCCTCTACTTTTTTTTTGATACTGCTAGTTATATCATGTGATAATCATCATGAATGTACATCTTCATTTGCACATGGCAGTATTTTTTTTTTTTTTAGGCAAAAGAAGTTTTTAAAGAGCATTATTCGCGTAATAAACGTTTTAAATACATTATTCGAATTTGAATTTTTTATTTTTTTTTATTAAAAAAAGACAAAGGATTGTCCACGTAACTATTTTTTTTTTTTTAAAAAAAAACACTTTTGGCATGATTTTCGTAATATAGATTTGTTCCAAAAAAAGATCGAAAAGGATCTCGTGATTGTTGGATAATTTTTGGAATCTCATAGTGATAGTGAATTCCCCTATTGCTAGATTTGAGCTGCACGGACCTTCGAATAACTAAATATATCAACGAAAGAGAAAAGTACATTTTTGGCTCTACCGCGTGACTAATAATAATAATCATATGTTAAAAGACCAAGATTGGTTTTGGTGAGTGGGAAAATTTTAAATTGTCCCACAAGTTAAATCAAAAATCTTAAATTACGTAATTTAATATAAAAAGTAACACCTTATGATCTTTAGAAGTAAGAAGATGGCACAAAATTTACCAACGGAAATTTTAATTCAGATTTTAACCGAGGTTTTAGACGAGACATGGTATGATGATTCGTTTTTTTTAGGTAATGATAATTTGGAATAGGTGTTGTTTACACTTTCGATTTGATAATCGGTGGGGAAATGTAGCTTTGAATACTTTGCATCACTTCGTAGAGTATGTACAAAATGGAACAAACTAATCCCTATAATCATAAATGATATTTCTATCCCAATCTTGGGTAAAAGATTATTGCTCACGGTACTTGTTAAAAAAATTTCTTGATACAATTTTCCATATTCTTTTCAATTAACATCTGCCATCCTTTTTATTTCTTTTTAAAAGTTTGATATATATAAATATAAAATAATCAGAGCACCGATTTATCATTTCCAAACCAATTCTTACGAAATCCATTTTGATGACAAACTTGGATGGCAATTCAAACATCCACCAGCGTGTGACAGAAAGTTGTCATTATTTAAGTGTTCGTTGGGAATTGGTAGAAAGACTTGTATAACTCAAATATCCTTTGGGTATTTAGAATTACCTGAAGTTCTTAAAGGGAAATTTTCGTTGAATGGTAAGTGTGGTATTAATGGATGGGTTGAGATATGTGAAAAGAATTCGGGGAAAATTGGAAGATTGAGAGTCGAGAGCATTATGGTTGATGCCAAAGAGATTTTTAAGGTGTTGGATGAGGTATGTATCGATTTTGATTGTCTCAAAAATACAATTAAATTAACTTTTCTTTTCAATTTAGATATATTAAACCAGCGAAGTTATAGATCAAAGCAGATGTAAATGTACGAATCTTGATCGGAATTACTATGAAATCTTGGCAAGCAAAATCTCGACAGCATTATGGTTTTGTGGGAATTTTGCCGGAACTTTTAACAGATTCCATCTTGGCTACCTTTCTTTGAGTTTACTAAATTACCGTTATTAAATTGATTAATATATAATACAGTATATAGTTATCTTTGTCTCTGATTAGCGAGAGTGAGGATTAAATAACGAAATATTTCTTTTGCAAATGCTTATATACAAAATTTAAATTTATGCTTATGTTTTTGATTTAAAAGGATTTGTTTAATGTTTCACGACAAGTATTAATTCATAAAGCACTGTACTTTTTGTAAATAAAATTATGAGCCAAATGCAATTTTTGAATCTGTGCCCGGTTATGCATGATGCCGATCACCATGTAAAATTCTTTAAAGTTCATTAATGTTAAGGTTAGCATTTTGTATAAAGTTAAAAGCTAAGTGGTTTTATAGTAAAATCGCACAAGGAAAACTTTTTGTTAGTGCACTAAAGGCGGTTTACTATACAGATTTTTGAGAAAGAAGCGATTTTTGGCAAAACGAACGTTTGTTTTGATTGTGCTATGTTACACCTGATTCTCAAATCTGATTTGTAGATCATGCATAATCATGCATAACCGGGCACAGATTCAAAAATTGCAGTAAGCACAGTATATATGAGGAGAAATGTCATCCTGAATTCTTATTACGTCATAAAAGTGTTTATAAATAGACCTTTATACGTTGAATTGACATTCACTAGGCCGGTCTCATATAAAGTAGAAAATTTAAAGTTTTGACAAAATTGTAGGGGCAGTTTTGCTAACGATGTCAATTTAATGTGTCAACATTTTTGATTTTCACGAAATGAAAAAAAACATAATGTAATGATTTTATACCCTGGTCACTATATCAAGATTGCAGGGTATAAATCAATTATACACTGGGTTCTATGTTTATAGGTGAGACTTCGTTCCGCTTACACCCATGCTGACGAGACCAGTCAATAGTAAGTCTTGATCTGGCAATTTGACCAATCCAGCTTGGTATTAGTCAAATCGTTGTGCTAAATTGTTATACTATTAGATTAATTTGATTGAATAAAAGAAATGAATAAAAGACACATAAATGTCAATTCAATAATAATAATAATTGAATAATTTTATTTTACTGTAAATATTCTGCTGATAAACAACCATTATATTATCAACTAATTTATTAAACCAAAATCTTTTATAATACAGTATTTTAAATATTATTTTATTATAAAACAACTATACTTGTTTTCAAGTTTTGCAACATACAAAGTTTATATTGTAATAATTGGGTCAGTACACAGCAAAAAAGAGCTTCGAGATGAATGTTTTTATTTGAAGATATCAATATTTAATCAATTAAAACTTTAAATATTTTAAATATAAAATAGAGTTAACAAACACTGCATACAAAATTTTATTATATTAATGTGGACTAAAAGATTATTTACAAATTCAAGTGCAACATAATTAAATAATTATTTTAGGAATTCAAAAGATAGAAAATTCAGATGAATTGAAATAAAATTTAATGCTATATCTACGTACAGCTATTTTTTTTTAAAAAAATGCAGTAACGTACGTACGTAAATACATATCGGTATAAATGTTAATTACAAGCCACGAAGCTTTGGTACAGTACGTAACAACTAACCGTGGCAACGAAAACTTTAATTAGTGGTGTACTTTCATAGCGATAGTCCATACGTATGAAGTCTTACTGCACCACCGCCAAACAAAACTCAAGTGCTACGTAATTTTCTTCATCCAATTAGAAACAATATTTCCTGCGTCTATTTAGGACCCTCGCCGAATAATCTGTAACTTGTATACAACACAAGTATAGATACGTATCACGTAAATTCTCTTCGAGTGTAGGTTTTTAATTGTTATTTTTTTTTGGTTTCAAGCGGAAATTTCCGGAATGATAAATGTAGATCTTGAATATTAAAAGTAAATATAAAAGCAAATGAATTTTTAACTCTTATTTGGTAATTCAATTAACTTTTCTGCAATGGCCGCGAAACTAATATTATTTCTTACTCATGTTGCTTTAATCAAATTCATCGCCAATCTAGTGAATACGGTTGTTCCTAATCCATACATGGTATATTTCAAAAGCAATGGATTCCATCTTTTTAATTAGTCATATTGCTTTTGAATTTGACAAATTTAACACATGAATCATAAGGATGAAATTTTTCATATTCCACAAGCACAAAGATATTGCGAAGGAAACTATCATGAATGGGATCCAAAATTAACAACCCCACCAGGATTGTAAGCGGTCATATTCTTCAATTTGTCTTTTATTTAAAGAAAAATTCTTATTAAAGTTTTTATTTTGTTAGGTATATAATAAGTAATTTAATAATATCATTATTAAGCAATCTGGTACATTCGATAAACTTTTGCTCGGTTGAATTTCTTCGTGCAACGAATATTCTGTTTAGCATTGGACTATATGTTGTATTTTGGAAAATTCTAGTCTGCCTACATCCATTTCAAGATAAAAAAACAAGAGCTTTCAGCGCTTTTGTTTTGTCATCGTTTCCTGTCGGCTGGTTTTATAATTTTTTATATTATACTGATTCTGGATCAACGTTTTTTGTTTTATGGGCTTATCTATTGGCTTTGAAACGACAATTTTGGTTGAGTGCCATGGTTTGCTCACATAATATTTATTCTTTATTTAACATATATTATTATATTTTATCTAATCAAATAACAACGTCCTTTATAAAAGGTTTCGGGTGTTGGTGTTTTTTTCCGGCAGACAAATATAGGATGGGTTTGCTTTATTTTAGGTGTGTCGATTATAGATGTTTTATCTGATAACAACTCATATAAACATTTTCATGGAGTTTTAAGACCTATCAAAGAAAAAGATATTACATTTGGTGAAAATTAATTTATTATCTCATTAGAGGATATTTGTAATATTACAATCATTTAAAATTCATCTTTTTTTTTTAGTGATTGCAATTCAAGAAATACTTAATTTCATCTTAATAGCAATAAGAAACATAATAGAATTAGTGATAATATTTTTTCCTTATCTTTTAGTCCTACTAAGTTTTATTTATTTTCTTATATGGAATGGGGGTGTTGTTTTAGGTAAGCAATTCATTCTCACCGTACAATTAATGAATGAATGAATTTTAGTTAATTTTTTATTCATTGTTATTTAGGGGATAAGGCCAACCATATTGCAGTTTTACATTTTCCACAAATATTTTATTTTATATCTTTTACTTTCTTTTTCGCTACACCTGTTATATTTAAACTTCAAGATGTCAAAAGAATTACAGTTTCTATCATATCACAGCGGATTACCATGTATGAAATTATTATTTCAAAATTTACGTCTAATTTATTAAATAACTTTATACTTTTTAATATTTGCTCCTAGGACTATTTTGACATTACTCTCTATAATGACTTTAATGGCATATTTAATACATAATTATACGTAAGTTGTAGTACTTTTAACATCTGTTGGTCACTCACTCCCTTGTAAAACATAATCTCATTACACGTAAAATTTTAAATAGGTATGAGCATCCATTCTTATTAAGTGATAATCGTCATTACACATTTTATATCTGGAAGAATATATATCGGCGTCACATTACAATAAGATACATCTTAATTCCTTGTTACATAGTTGCAGGTCGGATTTTATGGCTTTCATTGGGTAATTATTATTATTATTATTATTATTTCAACTTTGGCCTCCTACAATGTTATGTTTTCTTTAAATCATACTAATAACATGAAATTTTTATTTGTACATGATAAAAAATTCACATTACTGATAAAAACAAATAGCTTCAAAACAGTCATTCCTCTGGATCATGACCTATATTGCAGCAACTTGTATAACTTTAATTCCATCGCCACTGTTAGAGTTCAGATATTTTATAATTCCATATTATATATACAGACTTAACATTAAGCAACCTAGTATGGAGAGATTAATTGTAGAATTTTTAGTTTACGCAAGTATAAATTATAAAACCCTATCTTTATTTTTATGGAATGGGTTTATTTGGGAAAATGAAAGCGATAATATTCAAAGATTTATTTGGTAGATTTTAATGTGGAGATAGTAGATTCGAAGGTTTTATTTACAATTACATTATTATAATAAGGTAATAAAATAATAAGGCATTTTCCGGAAAATGTTTCTATGGAACCATTTTTATCGAGTTAATTCTTATGCAAATAATTTATTATCAGATCATATCAGATCAACTACGTAGTAAATATTTATCTCAAGTATCAACATAATATTTCTATGAATGAAGTTTCGTATAATAAGTTATAAAGAGAACATAAAGTTCATATTAATCTGTTTCTAACGTTCTGATTCTTTATAACAATTTTAAACACGCTCGAGAATTACTGCAATTCCTGAAAAAAATAATAATAATTAGCTTATAATTGTAGATTTTCAGTAGTTTTTAAAGATTAAAGGTATAACATTGACTTACCTTGACCACCACCGATACAAGCAGATCCAATTGCATATTTTATTTTATTTTTTTGGATTTGATAAGTTAAATGTCCTAAAATACGTGACCCAGATGCAGCTAGAGGATGTCCAAGAGCAATTGCTACAAGGGAAAATCATAAAAGTATATTAATATAGACATTATAAGAGTTCAAATCCCTGTATCAAAAGTAAGTACTTACAACCTAAAAAACAACGGATTCGAAATGGCGAGTTAATTGTATTCACAAATTTCAGAAACATGAACACCGGTAATATAAAAACGTAAATATACTTGCCACCATTAGTGTTAGTAATATTACGATCAAGTCCCAATTCCTTTTCTACAGATAAATATTGAGGTGCAAAGGCTTCGTTAACTTCCACCAATCCAATATCCGAAAGTTTAAGATTAGCTCTTTTTAATGCCTCTTTAATTGCAGGTACAGGACCTATTCCCATAATAGTAGGTTCTACACCAGCTACAGCGTAACTAACAATACGTGCTAATGGATCTATTCCATGTTGTTTTACAGCATCTTCGCTTGCTACAATAATTGCACTAGCACCATCACTAATACCCGACGCATTACCCGCAGTTACTACACCAGTATCTTTAATAAATACGGATGGTAATTTAGATAATGTTTGAATTGTTGTTTGTGGACGAGGGTGTTCATCTTTAGAGAATAATGCAGGTCCTTTTTTTGTTTTGATTTCAATCGGCGTTATCTCATCAGAAAAACGTCCAGCAGCATCAGCTGTAAATACACAAACAAATTGAAATTTCTTTTTTTTTTTTAAATAAAAAATAAAATTGTGATACTAGATCAGATCAGACAATATGATTACCATCAGCCCAGCGTTTTTGACTTAATTCAGCGTATTCATCAGCTTGTTCACGAGTAATATTATATTTTTTAGCCAAATTTTCCGCAGTGACACCCATTGGAGTTTTAATAGGATATTGATCTATTAAACAAGCAGCTAAAGAATCTTCAAGTTTTAAGTCTTGACCATATCTGACTCCCCATCTTGGATCGGCTGATAAAGTGTAATAAGATCTACTCATATTTTCGGTACCACCAGTTAATACAATGTTTGAATCACCTGATCTGATATCCTGAACCGCGTTGATTACAGCTTGAAAACCAGATCCACATAATCGATTTATAATTAAAGCTGGTGCTTCGATCGGCAGACCAGCTCTTAGGCCTACGTGACGGGCTAGATATGGAGCTGTATTATCAGTTTGTAGTACATTTCCAAAGAATACTGAATCGATTGGAACTTTTTTTTTAAGACTTGATATTGCAGCTGATGCAGCGAAAGCTCCCAATTCGGTGGCTATTAATAATTGAGATATGTTGAGGAACATATATATTGTTTATAAGCATGCTTTACGATTAAGATATCTAAAAAAAAAAAAAAATTACCTGTGAAATTCTTTAAAGAACCACCAAATGCCCCAAATGCCGTTCCTTTTTTTTTTTTAATTTATCTTTTTTTAAGGCCACTGTTTGATGATATAAATATATGCTACGTATTAACCAAATACATACTTTTAGCGGCTATAATATAGACGTTCTGTACCATCTGTCAATACAAAATAAATTTCGGGATTTAGACTATCATGTTTAAATAAACCCGATTGACTAATTTATGCCGATCAAAACGTGACACGATTAAATCGATTTTTTTTTTTCTTTATAGCGATAGGTTCTATTTTGAAACCAGTGTTGTTAATTTAACCGGGTAAATAATAATTAACTATTTGAACCAATGAATCAGTTATTTAACCAAATTAACCAAGTCAAGACAATTTAAACAATTACAATAAAATAGAACTGCATTTTATATTTTTATATTGTTAAATATTACATAACATCAGGAAATTTTTAATTAAGGTGGATATCGATTACTAGCTGCAGGGGTGATTGTCATTGAAACGTATAAGAAAATTCATTATAGAAACTTTTGCTAAATAGTTATATATGAAATGTGTTACTGATACTAATATATCAGGATTTGTAAAATGCCAGTAAAATTGAACATTCTATATTCATTTATTTATCTATTTATTTATTTATTTATTTGAATTCTGTGATTTTAAACATACCTTTTCAATATTATAGCATTTAAACTATTATATATTAGTTTATTTGCACTTGAATCCTAAACTTTGGCCAGATCCATCTAAAAAACTGATATTTCCACATCTGAGTCAGATCCTTGCGCTTATCCTTTAGCTAATAAAATTTTAAGATTAAGTATGTAAATGCAAGAAAACCCCTATTTATTTACATCTTGTTTTTCATGAAATTCACTGTAGCTTTAACTTAATAAAAAATATATACTGTTATATTTGAGCAATAAAAAATAAATTTCTTGGAAACAATATTTGACTTGATCGCACTAAGGCGTGACAGGATCTGACATTGAAGTGAAGTCATCAGTTCCCAAATTTTATTAATAATCTTTTTTTTTCTAAGATGACCTTTAGTTATTGAATAGGAAACAAAATTGTGATTTAAATATTTTAACAAAAATGAGGACTCTTATTTATATATTTCTATAACCCTGGTTTGCACAAATAATTATATATATATATATATATATCAATATATATAACACATATGGGCATGTCTAAATAACACAGGTAGTTAAATAACGTATCTATTATATCAAGTTTTTATGGCACTTATTATTAAAGCATAACATTTAGTATTAATAAAACTTATTGCTACCAAGAGTCCATATAATATAGTGGTTATCAAGCCAATTAAATTAATAAAATCTGTTTGGCCTTTATTCTGATCTCTTATAAAATCTGTTCAACTTTCATCCTAATCTCTTATAAAATCTGTTTCTAGTTAATTTGATATTAAATGCACAAATGTAATATTAATCTAATAAATTTGATTGACAAGGATGTTGTGTATTTGGGTTTTAATTATGAATCCAAATTATGTAAATAAAAATCTAAACTATGTAATAATTCAAAAAAAAAAGTTTAAACTGCAACTCTAATAAGACTGTTGAGCTTGTTTATGGAAATCCTATCTCACTCTTTTCACAAATTATAATATTCACGTAACTCATTTAATTGCATCACTAACTCTTCTATCTGATCTAGAAGTGAGTTACATTCATATACTATTGAATATAAAAATGTGATTAAGCTCAATTTCGTGGCGACTCAAACTTATTCTAAATTACTATAAAATGTCATCTCGCACTCCTTTCACTATCAAAGCCAACCTATTTGTAAACTGCTTTAATTCTGGTTCATTTTTTGAGTTGCACTTTCAACAATATTTGCTTAGCTATGATAGCTATTATAAAAATGGTTTGGTTATTTAGAAAATCTATTATGCTGTTTATAAGATTTTAACTTTATAAGAACTTTACAATTACATTATTTTTAGATTTTTTTTCATGAAGTCTATTTGCATCACCAAAAAATTTTCATTGATTATCATGTTCAAATCAAATTTCAGATTTGAGACTTTCATTTGCAATTTGTGAATTTCTTTTCTTCTTTATCTGAGGCTTAAAAATACAGTTAATAGATTCATCAAAACATCAATTCATAATTTATCAATTATTAATATTATGAATAAATTTAACCTATATTGAGTTACAATATGCTATATCATTGTTTATCACAGGGTGCTCTAGTTATTAAAAAAAAATCGCTAGTTAAAATGTATAAAGTGAGAAGACATATAGTTCTTATTGATGTTCATAGTAAAGATAAGGACGAATTCAATATTACCTGAGAAGAACTAGAACTAAGTGATCTATCTGGCTCAGAGGCAAGGTGTGCAGATTCAAACATTAAAAATGAAAATTTACACAGTAATAGTAAAGAAGAAATTAAGAAGTTTGATTTAGAAGAGCAAAGCTTTGTTAAAGAAAAGAAAATTTCTGCAATAGAGAAAATCAGAAAACACAGCTTTAACCTCAAACGAAGAAAAGATAAAAAATCAGATCAGATCACATCAGACATTTTAAATTCTCCCAAATAAAAAGGGCAGCACATGTGAAAGACAAACAAAAAGCCAAAAATGGATATAATAATTGATTTATTATAAAAATCGATTAGTACTGATTATATTTTAATCAATTGCAAACATCTAATCAATTAAAATCGATAATAATGATTTTTTTAAGGAGAATTTACAAATAAGGGCCCAGAAAGTAAAAATAATTACAAATACAGGCCCAAATTAAAAATAATTACATATAAGGGCCTAATTTTTAAAAAATATTACATATAAGAGCCCAAATCGATTAATGACTGAAAAAATGTGATCACAGGATTATTGTACTACAAAGTACTATGACCATTTGAATTACAACGATAGCAAAACGCGATTATTATGAGCATGTAGAGTTACCTACACACCAATTATTAGATTGAAGGATAGATGAAGCGCTGGTTATAATCATCTTCACTTAAATATTGCATATAAAATAGCGGAAACTAGTACAATTATTTATAAGGCAAAGAAGTTTCAACAGAGTAACTCTTTAGAGCTGAATAAGCATCTTCAATATTAGTAAATATCATGCCAACTCGCAGTGCTTTACTTGACATCATAGTGATTTGTTATAACAATAAGTAATTTATATACAAAGAAAATGAAATTTATTAAATTTAAAAAAAAATTTTCTTACTAATTTACAATCGATAGTTACATTTTTTATGCACTTAATAACTACATTTATTGATGCTTACATTTCTTATGCTAATAACGATCAAGCCACAAGCTTGAATACCATCGCAGTTAATTTGGGCCCTTTTATGTAATATTTTTTAAAAATTAGGCCCTTATATGTAATTATTTTTAATTTGGGCCAGGGCTAAAACGACACATAGTAAATGCCTGCCATTCAATAAGTGTCGTTCTTGATTCACATTATATTATAATTTTT